GTTGATCAAAGGTTAAACCGCAGCAAACAAAAGAAAAGAAACCTCTCCGATAGATGGACGTGGTAGATAAAAAAAAAATAAAACCAAAAAGGTAAGGAAGGAAAAATCAATTTTTTTAACATCAGATGAACGAATAGTGAAAATAATTAGTAATTAGTAATAAATAATATATAAATTAATAAAATAAATAAAAATAATAATCATTAATTAACGATATGTATATAACGTCAATCATTTCAAAGAGTAAAAAAAAAAAATTTTTAACTGAATCAAAGAAACGTCTCAATTTTTTCATCTCATGCTTCCCAAAAAATTGTATTTAGTAAAATTGATTTTTTTATCAGCTCAATGCTCACTCGATCTGTTCGATCGATCGATCGATTGTTCGTTCGTTCGCTCATGTGTAATGAGCACTCTTCTACAACGTCTTATTTCCCGTACCACTGTTTATTTACAAATATAGGCAAACAACAAATTTAATTTATTACAAAAAAAAAAAAAAAAATAGTAGATCAAAAAAAACCAAAACCATACAATCTATCCTAAGTAAGGAAAAAAGCAATCTTAGCAATCTTTTATGTGTGTTAATTATTTGTTGTAATATTTGGTTGTGTTGTACGTGAAAATGAAATTATGTGAAATTCAAATTTACATGTGTGAAATTCAAATTAGCCAATCAGAATTTCACCCCACTCCATAATATTTCAATTTCACATACAACAGTTGTATTAGTTTTTCCATTTTTCTTTCCAATGATTTAAATGCTTTAAGTTCTTTATAATCTAATTGACTTTATTATCAATTGTTTTATTTTAGAAACTTGGAAAAAATTTGTTATTTCACACATTCGGGTAAATAATTTATCAATTGTTGGTTTATTAATTTTGTTACTCCAAAAATTTGGACCAATAATCTATCAATTGTTTGTTTATTGATTTATTTTAAAAACTTGCAAAAGGTTGTTACTCGTAAACATTTGTACAAATAACCTATCAATTGTTTTTATTGGTTTGTTTTAGAAAATTTGTTACTCATAAATCTTTGGATAAAATTGTTTGTTTATTGCTTTATTTTTAATACCGACCTTTGATTAAAAATAATCTATTTGATTATTATTTTATTTTATCAATTTTTTAATTTGGATAAATTTCATAATTTATATGTCACGTGAATCCGCTGTGATGAGACTAGTAGCCATATAGAAAGACCCCCATCAAAAATCCGTTATGACAAACTTTTTTAATTGATAAAAAAAGGGGCCAATATTTAAATCCGTTGTAACAAGAAATCCGCTGTGGCAAGATCCGATGTGACGAGGTTTGACTGTATGTCAATTGTTTAAAAGTATACTCTTTTCACTTCAACATTCTCTATTTACCCTGATCAATTCGAAGTATTCCTTGTTTGCAAGCCATTACTAAAATACCTATTGGTTTTTGTTCCATTTGCAAAATAGAAAAAGATAACTCTGGGTAGCGTAATATTTAGAACAAGGGAAAGAAAAGGCTTAACCGGTAGGGAATTGTGAATTAAATATAAGCGAAAGAATATGTTCTAAATGCTATAATTATTATATAGCATACGATAGACATAATACATATAAAAGAAAAAGATGTGCCTTATAAAATAAGAAAACCAATTGAGATGGAAGCGAATGCTTACAGAAGTTACAAAATCAAATTAAAACGTATTAAAGGCGATCAAATATTTCTTGTAATATTATTGTTATGTCACAGCGGATAAACGGGATACATTAGAAAATTTTATTTAAAATCCGTTGTGGCAAGATTATAGTCCTCTGTGGCGAGGACGGCTGTTGACAAGGTTTGATTGTATTATAAATATATTTTAATTAATTCTTATAAAGTTGATAATGTGTGCAAAGAATCAATTCATTTTATATAAAATTTTGATCTAATGCATGTAAAATATCAAAATAATTTTTCATTATTGAATTTTTGATCTAGTGCACGCAAAGAACCAATTTATTTTTTTAATAAATTTAATGCATTAAGATATTGCTATTTATTAAATTTGGATATTGTTATTTATAATAATAAACTTGATCTAAAATTCTAATACTTTTAAAAGATTAAAAAAAATTATAATGTACATATTTAAAGAAATTAATGTTAATTTATAAAAATATATTTAAAAAGGGTAAGAGAAGGTAATAACGTTATTTTACAATTGTTTTTTTTTTCTCCTATTATTTTATCTTCATCTTTTGATTGACTGTAGTGCCAAACTCATGATTTGGAAGTAAAAATGATTTGCCTTTGTTGAAATAAATGATATCTATTAATCGTGTTAAAGCTATTGTGACAAAACACGCGACTCCTTGAGTGACAAAAATACTTTTTCTAAGTATAAGTGCCGATAAGATAAAGTTGTTTACAATGGCTAAAAAAATGGATACAAATTTTATATGTTTGTGACATTTAGACGTTGTGTACTTTCCAAGTTTTTTCAAAAATTTAGGTGTTTTCTTCGAACACGCAACAATTGTAGCAAAATCGGCAAACATGCTTGCAAAAAAAATTAGCATAATTGCATCTGATGATGAAGGTGTGTATATGCATCCAACAAGATCAAATTTCTTTCTACAATCTTCAAATGATCTCAAATATCCATTACTATGTCTATACTTATAATCTTCAGTATTATTTTTAAAAAAAGCCGCTATGATCTGAAGATATCCAAATGCTGACGAAAAAACTATAAAATATGGACTTATATATCCATAAATTAGAATCAACCTATTTTTTTCACCTGATATATGGTATAACCAACCGAAGGTGGCAAAGACGAAGAAAAACAACCCTATGGTAATACTGAAGTTTTTTGTGCTTTCGATGTGATTTTCAATCATATTTAAAAGGGGGCATAAGGAAATACTAAGAAGGACGATAAAATCATCGAAAAAATTTAACCAAGGGAATAAAGCACTCTTTTCATCTCCATTTTCTTTTATTTTCATCATCGAAAAAATAACTAATGGTGCAAGTGAAGTAACCAGAAAAGAGTAAGAATCGTTTGACGGTTTGTAGGATGATTCATTTGGATCTTGTGCAAGTACTTCGCGGAAATAGACTTGATTGTATATTATGTAGGTTGTAAATAATGAGAAAAAATTTATCTTCATTTTTATCAAGTTGATATTAATAACCATTAGTGCCAACTGTTTTCAGTGTCTTATATTTATTTATAAATCGAATTTGAAATCATTTCCTTTTATAATATTAACACAAATAAAAAATGTATACAAAAAAGAAAATTTAATTAATGTTTATTATTGAATATAACAAACATTCCACAAAATAGTGTGTACCAATATATTGGTTCGCATGTGCTGATTTGCACACATGAAGATTTATATTACCTTATTGTTCTAATTATAGAGTAAATCCAATAGTATTGTGTCATAATAACCAGTGTATTCAGCGGGATTGTTTTACATAACATAAGAGGTTTAGATACTTAATTTATACAAAATGTACGATGAATATGATTTCGATGACCATAATATTAGACATCGTGATTAATAAATAAAATTCGTGTATTGAATCCTCTCGGATTACAACACAAAGCTTAATCTATTTGTTTCAAAATGAAACACACGAAGAAATTAAAGTTATCATGAAACGGTAATCACCGATAAAGCTACAAGAATTCAAATATACAAGGAAATCTTAAAGCATTTACCTGATATTACACCGGTTGCCTTGCGAATTAAACTCTTGGAGCCAATAAAAATTCGTAAATTATTTGGGAAAAATGAAGTTGCAAACGATATTTCAAAACTGACCAATGCTCAAATTCAAAACATTATAGGTCAAGTAACTTCGGCTAAATGTATCATCCGTGTTTCAAATATCCAAGAAACTTCCAATTTCAAAAATCGTTATTCCCAAACTTTTCTCATTCAAGAGGAAGCCATCCAAAGATGAGCATAACCAGGTTATTAGTTTGTTAACAATGCATTTCACTAATTCACCAAGCTAGATCTAAATTTTAGTATGTGAACATCAGATAGATTTTTATTTTTATTTTCGGTTCACATTGTCCACTATGCAGAAAAAAGGGAATGATGTTGGATGATAAGTGGTGAACTGATAGTTGAGGTAATAAAAAATATTATTTTGTTCTGAAACCATGTAAAAAGAGCCAGGAACCTCACTCAATGATGTACTAGAAGTGCATTCCAAAAATTTAGCTCTGAATCAGGAGGCAAAGATTCAATGCTTCACATCACCTATCCCTCGGAACCATGTCCTTAAACTCTCAGATAAAAACATAGTAGTGGAAGCATTGAATAAATAAATAAATTTTTGTGTAGTTCATATATCATTTCAGCATGAACTGGGAGGTGATGATAAAATTCAACTAGTAAAAACATTTACAGAATCATTTATTTCAAAGTTAAGTTTGGATAATATCAAATATGTAGCATATCAGGTTAAGACAAACATAGCTTTCAAGTTAGTTTTCTTCGGAAAAAGAAATGCTGTGGCAATTGCACATAAATATATTTTTAGATTGTGTCCCTTTCGAATAATGAATAAAGGTTGTAATAAATCACGTGATGATGACGTAATCCTGCCTGTCGATCCCCAGGGGAACAGCATAAATGTATGATCGAGAATTTAAAACTTATAATAAATAATTTTATTTCGGAATGAAAAGGCATTTATTTTTGTGAGTACTAATACAATTCATAAATTTACAATATTTGAATTGCAAAACAAATTTGTACATCTTTCCATTTAAAAGCAAAATGTATTAGTATCAATATACCTATGATATCGGAAAAATTACGTAAAAAATCAATCTTTTTATAGTGAGACGTGACCATTTATTCTTTAACTTCCTATGCAGATATCACTTTTACCAGCTCAACGAAACCTTTTTTCTCCACACGACGTTTAACTTCCTCTATGGGCATCAGCTTGCCAGTGCTCTCAATGATGACGCATATCCTTTCTGGATAAGTAGAGTGTAATTCGCAAGACCTTCCCTTAGATTAATTCCCACGTAATTCATGCTTTGTTCCATTTCGTTCCATCGAAACACGACACCATGTCTAGTGACTCTGGAGATCTTTGCATAGTGTCACTACTACCTTTGTACGTATAGTCATACCTCTTTTATATCCCCCCTTTTGTATCGGTACTTTGGTGGGATATAATTGAGGTGGGTATATTATTTAAAACAAAATTTTGTTTTATTCAACATTAATAAATTCTGTCAATAAGGATTGATGTTTTGCTTTATCTATAAAACTATTTAAACATTATATTAATTCACTAACATACCTAATATCTTTTTTGTAGCAAATTTTTATTGTTCCAAGAACCTTTTGCAGTTTCAAATGCTTTCCTTTTTCTTCTATAGAAATAACTGGTTCCTCTTTGCCCATTTCCCCTTCCCCTTCCCCTTCCCCTTCCATTTCAACATTTTCAAAGAAAATTCATAATTAATTTCTTTGCTATTTGTTAAAGAAATTAACCAAGTTGTCACTAAAAAAAAAAAGAGAATAAATAATTCATAATCAGTTTCTTCATTGTTAGAGAATAATTTCTTTATTATTAAGAAATCAAAAAAAATTGCATAAATCTATTTCATGTACAAATAAGATTAAAATTGGGATGTAACGGTAGCTCAATTAATTGGAGGTAAAGTTTGAAGTCCGTCACAACTCATATGTGGGATTTAATTGAGGTTAAGGTATAAATAAAGGGGATATAAAAGAGATATGAATATACTGATATTTTGCGGGATTTGATTGCAAGATCTGATCTCCACCGGGATGGACAAGTTCACGGATTTGTCTCCACGCAGTTCCCGAACTCTCAAACTTCCAGCTTTGGAATCAATTTCCCATCCTGATCTCAAGAGAAAAGGTGTTGATCATTTATCGATCAAGTGGTATCTGTCCTCTTCCTTGAGAGCCGTGATCGATGTCCCGAATACTGTATTGATAATCTTTTGCTTGCTCAATTTCCAGGGCACGTTGATTGTTATCGGACACCTTCTGGATTTGTGGGTAAACTCCAGTATTGTCATACACTAGCAATTTGGTCGAGATGTCGAAATATAATGATCACTAGTTTCGTATACGTGAATTCCGTCTTCTTTTTGGGCCGATAATTGATCGTGTATAGATGGCAAAGGGCGTCCCATATAGTGAATATAGTAATTGTGGTACCATCCGCTTTTATTATCATTGGTAATAACTGCCCATTGAGATTGGTAGGGAAAAGAATTTGATTGTTCTTCCTGATATGCATACATAAAAGAATTTTTTGATTTGTTGAGAACATATTTCCATGTATATATGACATAAGTATCTTATGAAAAAACTAGACCTTTACCTGTATGGTAAAGGTACTATTTGTGAACTTTCTGTCCTTTCTCGCTCTTCTTCTCGATGCAATTCCAGATCTAGGGTGAAGAGTATCTAAGGAGATTTCTTTTCTTTGTTTTCTATCAAAACAACTAAAAGCTGTCTTATTATAAGGTCTATGACTGTCTTAGACGGGATATGGCATGATGGTTATCGAAAGTAAAGTTGCTCGTTGTGATGTTCCCTTTAAACATATTAATATAGGTGGTCATGGAAAATCTAATTGTTACTCTAAACTAATGGATTCAGACATTTGAGTTAAATCAATTCGGATGGCTTTCGTCTGTATAATCATCATATCGTCATCGGCGGACCCGAATCAAGAAGATATTCTTAAAGTATTACTAACACCAAATAAACTTATGACTGATGCATTATAATTCCTATCATTTATAAGCATAGAATGTCAATGCAGGTATATATATGTTTCGCCTAACAGGATGTCGCGTGGAGAATGTGCATGATCAAAGGTTTAACTATATTAAAACAAAAAGCAACCAGCTCAATGACAAAGGATGATGATCTTATATGTGCATCCGGTCATTAATTGGATCTGTAAATGGAGTCAATTGACTACATTTCAAAGGGCTTAGATCAAAAGGAAAGATGAATTATTACTTATTTTCTAAAGTCGTTACAATGACTATAATATATTCGTTGATAATTGCAAATTGCAAATACTACTTTTGTAAATTTGTCTATTTTTGACAATTATTGGAAAACTACTTATTCATCAAAATTACTATCACAACTACCATCATATGCTATATTTATGTTATTATAAGTATCTGGTTTATATATTAATGTTTAAATTCACATAAGATTGATTTTTTATATAATTCAAATAAATAATGATGATAAAATTAATTATTTTTACAAATAAATAAAAAAATAATTTACATAATAATTTAATAAAAGAAATTTGCTTTAAACATAAACATATAAAAGTATAATAAACACTACTTGCGGGATTATGTAGAAGATAAATGTTCTTTCATTTGTTCTTCCCAATTTTCAGGCACTTCTTCGTCACCAACAGCTGAAGCAAGATCATCCATCCAGTTTTCTTTTATTATTGTTATTTTGAAAATAGGAAAGTGATTTAATTAATTATTAATAACTATTAATAAATTATTAATTGAGAACTGGTAAAAAATTTGTTTTGCGCGTGTGGTGTACCTGAACTATCGACTTTTTTAGCATCAAACAAAACTTCTTTATCATTTTCAGTGGCAGTAGTAGCAGTAGAAGAAGAAGAATCGGTAGCAGTAGTGGAATCTTCTTTACTCTATAATTAATATGGAAAATTTGTGAGTTTTTCTTCAAAAAAAAAAACACAATATTCCAAAAGCTCGATAATCCCAAAAATCCAACCTTTTTATTATCGTTTTTCGATGCGCCATTTTCATTTGTTTCTATTTCATTAACTTTTGAATAAACTTGATTTTCTAATGCAACAGAATCAATTGATCCAAGTGCAGTTTGTTTAACAAGAGAAACACGATAAAAATAATTTCTCCAAAATGTTGGCTCTTGAACTCTATAAAATTATTATTATTATTATTATTATTATTATTATTATTATACAATATTATAATAACCATTAACATCATTACATAATAATACTTTACTGAGCTGGAACCAACTCAAATCTCATACGATTAAGATTTGGATCAGATTTTAATGTTGCCATTGCGGTTTGAAAATATACATGCATATCAAATTGAAAATTTGTATTTTCTGGTGGTGGAATTGTAAAATTTCTTTTATCCTAAGAAAATAAATAGATTGATGATTGATTAGTTGGTTGGTTGGTTGTGATAGCAAGAAAAAAAATAAATTATTTTAGTTAATTTGTAGAAACATTAAAATATTGCTGTGGAACTTCTATTTTTAATAAATAATAAAGTTCCATTATTATTTAATTGAATTGCATTACTTGTGATAAAGCTAAAATTTGTTCTTTTAATTCATCTTCATTTGGAAGTCCAACCCATGGTGCAACAGCCTCTTGAAATGATTATATTGTTATTATTAACATTAAGATTAATATTAATAATAATATTATCATTACTATTATTAATTAATTAATAGAAACAAACAATTAATCAAATAGATAAATGTACCAGTTCCAGATTTTGGTACAAGTGTTTCCTCTTTGATTTGTTTAACAAATTCTTCATGTTGTTGTTGAATATTTCTTGTTGTTTCTTCTACTTTTTGTTGAAATGTTTTTGACAATGATGCAACACTAGTCATGGCACTTGATGCAAATGCTTAAAAAATAAAATTGTTATATTAATTATTCAAAATATAATGACAATGATAATAATTAATATAAATATATATATAAATATACATACAACTAATCATACTTGTGTTGACATTAGGAATATTTTTAACAGCATTAGTTATATCAATATTTTTAACAGCATCAGGAATTTCAATGTTTTTGATAGCATTAGGAAGTTCCATGTTTTTAACAGTATTAGGAACATTTTTGACAGCGTTAGATATATCAATATTCTTAACAGCTTCAGGAAGTTCAATATTTTTTACTGCAGCGGGCAACTCAAAATTTTTTACTGCGTCAGGAAGTTCCAAGTTTTTCACAGCTGCTGGAAGCTCAAAATTTTTTATGGCTTTTGGAAGCTCCATAGTTTTTAAAAAAAATATTTTTTTAATTTATTTTTTATATTTATTTGCAAGCAAAGATTTTGTTTGTTTATGATTTTTTTGTTAGTGCAACGAAATATTAGTGGCCAACCAATAATTAAAACTCTATTTTTATTTTATTTTTTTTTAATTAACATATCCGACTTTTTCAACTATTTTTCTCATTTCTTCATTTAACGACAAATTTAAATGTAAATAAAAATATTTTACAAGTTTAACTTGTTTTCCTTTAGAGTTTATTGATATTGGTGATGATATCGATGGTATATCATCTTTGATTTTCCAAGTTGAAAATAACCTTGTTAAAGAAGGTTCCAATAATTCAATTGGAACTTTTGTATAGCGTAGATTACCGAATATGTTATAAGTTACGAAAGTTATTGGAGTATTTGGTTGAAGTAGAATTGAATCTTTGATTTCTTCATTATTATTATTATTAATTGATGGCGTAGATGTGGGAGAAGAAGGCGATGATTCGAAAGACGAAGGTGAAGATAATGGAGTATAGAATATTTCCTTAACATAAGTTGAAGTACACCAATTGATAAGTAGAGTTGAAGTCAAACTTGTCGTCGTTGCTAAGAATATATATATATATATATATTATTAAATTAAAAACCAAAGAACACACGTACATTTCTATAATTGATTAATTAATTGGTTACTTATTGTCGCCAACGCAATTCTAGGAACTAGATCAATTGACGAATCTACTAGAAAAATTAAAGGCGTAATTGAAAAGGTTGCAACTAAAGATGAAATCGAGAAAACTTTTAATCGTTTAATTGCTTGAGAAAACGGTCCATTATATATAATCTTTATGTTTTTATTAGAAGGAGGAAGCGGAGGCGGTGAAATGGTACCAGAAGAAGAAGGAACGAGGGTGGATGTGTAAAAAGTTGATCTGATAATAGACTTAAATTGTTGTTGATTATTATAATTATTTATTAATGATTTAATTGAATGGATTTTCTTTAATGAAATTTTGTTATTGTAATGCGAAAAAAATGATAAATTCTTCATTTTTTTTTTAAAAAAAAATTTTATGGTTACACACGAGTATATATTAAACTTGAACGTGATTTAGTTACACGAACCCATTCCACAAATATATAATATACAAGGTAATTTAATTAACTAGTCAGTCTGTCTACCTTAAATCAAGCAAACTTTCAACAAGATAAAAAAAGGATCAGATCAAATCCTTATTGAAACTCCCGGCGAATCAAACCTTTGCTATAGCTGGTAGTTGGTTTTATTACAGTACACCCCAAATAATTTATTTTTTTACAATATCTAAAACAAAAATATGATTTTATCCTGTTACTATCAATTAGATAACATTCATGCGAACTGTGGGAGAATCCTGACAAGTGAATGCCTTCCTTTCTTCACAAGAGGAGAAATCGAGCCATTCACGAGGGTGTGCCCGAAGCCGAACCAGAATAGGGCAATTCTTTCTCTTATATGAGTCTTTTGTAACATTGACCAATGTAGTACCCGCCAATACAATCCTAAAGCAGAACCGGTTGATTTTCCACAGGTATGACATTCTAGTTTTCCAATGAAAACAATATCCTTCAAGACGTGTAGAATTTCTATCACGGATAGAACCGTCTCTACAAAGATCCCAACATGATAGCTTGATATTAATGTAATACGCATCGATTTCATAGTTATCAAATATCACAAGCCAATATTAATATTAAACAACACCTTGCTCTATGGTTGCTTGTTTCTAGGCGTTAGTTGAAAATTACTTGTAACGGGAAAGGTTTCTTCAGCCCAGTTATTGTGCATAGAGTCGAAAACAAGCTTGAAGTTCACCATGCAGGTGAATCTCCATGTTCTAACCCCATCGATGAGGGAGATGAACTAAAAAAAGTCTCTGATAGGTGAGAATATCAAAGCAATGCCTTCTCAAATCCTCTCTCACGGTGATTTGCATCAATCAGTTTGCTCTTGAGATTATAATGATTTGTGGATTTTAAATTAAGTTGACAGCATCATTTATTTTTTGCTCCTTCTCTTGGTGTTTGTTTGATTTTATCAATAACTTGAAATTTTTATTAGAGAAATATAAGCAAGAGAAATAAATAAAGATTATGATGAATAGAATAGTTGAAGCCATAGAAAAAAAATATAAAAGTGTGGCAGAAAAAATCGGGAGAAAAAGAGGACAAAGAGTTTAAAATCAAAGATTTCTCCCATGCCTGTTTGTTTGCTGGTCAAGAATTTGATCAGAAAATAGAGCAAAATAAAGAGCTAAAAGAACAAAACGGTTTTAATAAACACAATATCGAAAAACCAGGATTTATTGAAAGAAAAATTAAAGGGATTTATAATGATCCTCATAATAGAGAGCTTATTGAAGCAGGTGAATTTCCCATTTGCTTTTGGAAATTGACAAAAATCAAGCACTTGAGGAAGAAGCAAAAAATTGAACCATTTAGCAAGGAAGTGGATTTATCGAAATTTATTTTAATTACCACTAATTTTACTCGCGAAGCCTAAAAATCATCTTATCTTTTGCTTTCCCGTTTGGATTAAATTAATGCAAATACTGCCCGATCAAGGTATTTTTTTGGACGAATATTACTATTGATTTTGGTGCCTTCACTTCTAACAGTTGGTTTTATTGACATGCATGAAATTAATATTGTAAATGCGCAATTAAGTTAAAATTTTATCATAATAGTAATGTTCATTTTATTGCTGCCCATTTAAACGAGTAAAATTTTAACCCTGGTCATATGAAAATTTTAGGTAAAGCATCAAAAACTGGCATATTTTTTCCATAAGTTATGTATGTATGAATATAAATTTAATAAAAAAATGTATATAATATAAAAAAAAAAATATTTAATCATAAAATTACTGACTCCAGATTTATGACAAAAAAAAGATAAAGGATGCAAATCTTCAAAGCTTGGCCTCCTGTAAAATTCCAAAGGGCGGTTTTAAAGAAAAGTTTTTTTTGCATTATATAAACCTCCAATAAATTCTTCTCGTTTATAAGGCCATTTATTATTGATGAGTATTTTATCCATATGATTTTGATTGATTGGTTAATTGATTAATGCCTTCTTACATGCCTATATATATATATATTTGATCCAGAATAAAATATATCCAGTGTGTTGAAAATACAAAAGAGCAAAAAATTTGTGTGAGCTACATAATTTGAGTTTCAAGCAAGCAAAAGAGACTCTAATATGCCCAATATATCTCCCCCCCAAAAAAATTGACTGGAATCCTTGTGATATATATATATACATATGTATATATACATATAAATTTTTTTTAAAAAAAAAATTAAATACAAAAGATCACTTTTGCCACAATGAATCCAGTTCCAAGCAAAGTCTCAATAACAAGTCATCTCCCATGATCCAGAATAAACAATAATCTAGATGAGATGATGATACACAAACAATGAAATATAATAATAAAATCATGTTACACTCATATATAGTAGCATTCTTAAAACATACCCATATGGACTTGGACTCCTTCTATAATCATAATCATAAGGGCTTGAACTGCGTCTATATGAACTTCGTGATCGATTTCTTGATGATCTGTTGTAACCAGCATTATTATTATTATCAGAACCTTCATAAGGTGGTGGTGATCTAGAATAACGACTATAACGGTCATGATCCCGGTCCCGGCCTCTGTCACGATTATAATCTTGGTTATGATCACGATCTCGGTTACTGTCTCTGTCACGGTCACGATCATAATCATCATAATGAGGGGCACCATGTGAATAAGAAGATCGATTTCTTCCGTATCTAGAAGATTGACCTCCCCGGTCATAATCACCGCCACCTCCTCTAAAAATTATTTATAAAGTCATTAAATATACACAAAATGTTTAATGATAAAAATAATTTATTTACCTGCAATATTTTGCTAGATGACCTGTTTCACCACATCGAAAACATTTTCCACTTCTAACATCCATACCCTTTTCTCTAGCATCAGAACACTCTCTGGCCCAATGACCTTGTCCACCACACAAAAAACAACCACTCCCAGGACCACCAGACCTACGTGACCATTCTACAATAATCCTTGCGCCATCCAATTCATAACCATTTAATTGTTTTACTGCATCATCAGCATCGCGTGGATCCTAGTGTATATGTTTTTAGATCATGTAAATAATGTTTACTAATATTCAAAGAACATGCCAAAAATTTCTTAATATAAAACTCGTAAAATAATAATGATAATTATTAACCTCAAATTCAACAAAAGCATATCCCGTAGGTTTAACATTTACACTGATAACTTTTCCATATCTTTCAAACTGTCATACCATATTTTAATCAGTTATTATTTACAAAGATGTAGAGCCTAAATAAAATTTACTAATGATATTATTTACCAACTCCTCTAGATCTCTTTTTTCTGTTCTTGAGGAAAGATGTCCTATATAAACTTTATAGAAAGAGTAAATATCAATAAATTAAATAATGAGCAACTAAAATTCTACTCGATTTAGTATAATTACATAATTAACATACGTTTGCTTGTAGTCATTATTTCAATCTCAAAAAATAAAAAAAAAAATATAATGAATATAATGATATCAAATATAGTGAAAATGGTGTAACGAGAATTTTATTTGTAAAAAAAGTACATGGAAATTATGTGAAATTGAAATATATAAAGTAAATATGTAAAAACTACATAAAACTAATTTATAAACTTGCTGAATTCTCTCATCTAGTATCAACTAATTCCTCAAAGAATATATGTTATTATTGGATATTCCGAAAAAACCTATTTTGTTAGAATAAAGCCACTATATTCTTTTCTTGTTTTTAACTTTGTAATTGTTATCTCTAATATTCGAAAAAAAGTCTTATTGTGAATTCCATTTCCTAACAGTGCTGAAGAATGAAATATTGTGTATATATCATATTTGCAAACAGCCCTTTGAAAATTTTCATATGATAACGACAAGAGGCGATTATCATATTATCCAAATTCAAGGATGTGAAAGGTAATTTTACTTCCCAGAACAAAGATCCCCTTTGGTATGTTGAATTGACATACACGGAGAGAATAAAACGTGTATTTTTTGAAATCAATATCATTTCGTATATACACGATTTTTTTGGAAGAAACAAACTTTTCCAAAATTTAGGTAAATGAGATGTTTTTAAAAAATTTTTTACCAAAATCAGTGATACAATAACATGTTGGGGAAATGTGTTCTTTCTCAAATAAAATCAATATTTTCTTGACAAAGCTGTTTTTAAATACAAAGAAAGACCTTGTTTTTAAAAACACTGGAATATTGTATATAGGAAAAATATTTCTGTAAATCGATTTTCACGTGATTAAAATGAGGTGCAAGTTTCCTATAGCAGTTCATACTAATACTAATACTGTATATAATAATAATAACACATTAATTGTTCGTTGAAGATTCTTCATTTTATTGTAGAACTTGTCTATTTTATTTATTTATTTTCTTGGCCAAACAGGTGAGATTTAATTTCGTGTATATATGCATAATAGATAATAGGGATTCATTCATTTTTTAGACCATTTATATCCGCGTTCAATGTTACACTGGATAACGAAACTTTGTGCCATATGACTATAAATAATGATGCAGAGAAATTAAATGATTGCTTTTTTAAATATTTCAATAATTAATCTATTACATAACGCAATATACTTATTTTATAGCTACCTCGAATTATGACAACAACAACATTGTGGGAACTGTAATCAAGGGTTCCCATCCCTGCTCTACAATGAGCAGACTACAACTAAGATACTTCACTTCACTCCTCTATCATTGTTATTGTTTCCTCTTGTAAATAATGGATAACGGTTGCCATTATTTGAGTTCAACTAGAAAAGGCCACAATGGATGTATTAATGTCGCGATTCCACAAAGTTATAAATTGCCAAACCCCCCACTTGTCCATCACAGCGAGAACGGGCAATGGAAGTTCTGAATTCTTCATATTTCCTAGCTCGAAATGTTTTTTCAATTATAAAAAAGGCTCTTTTTTGGGTCCAGATGGATTTCCATGGCTACTGGATGAGAAAAATCCATCTCCATATGCTACAACTATTTTTTTGCGATCAGTCAGTTATTCTTGTAACAATTTCATGGTAAGCCTTCTGCTTTTTAATATATGTCTTAAAATGAAGACTACGCCAGCGCCTAATATCATGAAGTTCAAGCAGTGTTGGAGATGCTCGAGAGAATAATGCAGATATTCTCTGTATGGAGTTAACTGAGGCGACAAATGAAGTCGGAAGAACTGTTGGAATTTAATTAAGATAATATCAGTTTATATTAATTTGACTAACCTATTATTTTTTCCACTGTATATACTATTTTCTTTATACCAGTTCTCAACTTTCTTCCTTCATTTTGTGAAGCCCGCCAATGAGTACATTATTTTGTGCTACATTTAATGGATCTATACCATACGAAGCAACAAATAAGAGTTTTCTTTCTGGATCTAGCACAACACACCTGTCACCAGGTCGGATGCCTAATTATTCACACCACCCTGCTGGATTGTTGGCTGTCACAAGGATAGAAACACTCACAGCATCTGTCATGTTGTCAAAATTAATTTGTCCTTGACTTAATTCCCAAAATATTTTCAATTGTGTCTGATTCAATTATTTATATGTTTTTTATGATTGCGTCAAAAAGTCACCTTATTGATTCAAGTGATAAACCTATTTCTATCATATGTATAGTAATCGTCTTTGAAAATAAGAAAGGATTTATCTTGGGTTTTTACAAGCGAAGAAAATCAAAATAAATTATATGTTCATTTACAGTTTTACTATTACTATGTTTAATTAGTAATCTGAAAATAGGGCTGACCTTAAGTTGTAATTAGAGTTGGCACCCATAATGTAAAATTACGGTGTTGCTCGTGTTTCAACCAACCGTAATGTTGTAATATTTGTTATACAATAAAAAGTAGATCTAATTCTTTTTTTCCCACGAATAATAATTAAGGATGACTGACTGATAACAAAAATAAACTTGGTCCAAAATATAGTGATATTTTATATGTGGTAACCATATTGGTAATGGACGTTACCAAGCTACACGTAAGCCATGTTTGTCACTTTTTAAAGATGCCCGACCACATTCTCATGTTTCTCAATGTTCAAAAGCATATGAAACTATCAAAAATGAAGTAAATGAATTGATTTTACAAAGTCAACATTTTCTAAACAAGGAAAACTCATGAACATTTTGGGCAACGCCATATTGATGGTTATTTTTGTTCAGTTGATTTAGAAGAATCACCATGCATAAAACAATCAATAAAGCTTTAGTTATGATGTTTATATTATGTGTGTATTACCTTTCCAACCCGTTTTTCATTAATTTTTTAAAGCATTAAATCTTGGATATCAACCACCTTCAAGAAAAGCGATATAGATGAAAATGGAAATCTGGTTTAATGGGATCCACATGTTGATTTACAGCAATTAGATGATGAATAGATGAATGAATTCAAATTTTTTGAGATTGTTTGTTCTATATAATAATAATTACATTTTAATAAATATTAAATGTTTATTATAATAATAATAATATGAATAGAAAATTGGTCTAACTGCATCGTGATTATGTTGCAAACATTATATATAATATGCAAGAGTTATGAGATGTTGCAACATTACAGGTAATTAGTATGTTGTAACATTACGGTTTTGTTGCAGATTGTTGCAACATTGCAACATTTAATATTTTATTACGGGAGACAAACTTGGTTGTAATAAATCTAGCAACAATAAAATAATTTTTTTATTGTTTTTATATTAAATTAAAATTAAGAATCTTGAGAAACCAAAGATGCAATTTATTTATTTTTTATGCATCTTTTAATAAAATTAGCTATTGTAATTCAATATTTGGTTAGTCGGATATTCAGAGAATATCAATTCAGTATTTTGTGTAACTGAAATTTTCTCATGTTAAATAAATTCTTTCTGTTTAAACAATTAAATTTATTGTTACACTTCCATTCATTTGAAATGGAAGAGGAACATTCAGTCATTATAATTGGAGAAAGCAATAATACAATAATGAGCGAGGAGGAGAGGTCTTCTGCTGCTCATATTTTGAAAGTTCTTAGAAGTCAAGTTGGATATGGGAAGATGATCTATTCCTATGATGGAAACATAATAACGATAGATTTCCCGTTTTGTCAGAGTTAGTTATTATGCATCTGCGATTGATAATTTTGATAGAATGTAAAGAACATTCATTGAATAGTTAATTCAATGATAATCAAATGTGATCTCTGGATATCCGGATATTAAATTTAATTGAATGAATATTTCAGGTGTACAACAAATTTGGAAATTATTAACGTGTAACGTCACACCTGTCGCTTCAAAAATACATTTAGCAGCGATAATTTTTTTAATATTAATAATAGGGCTGGCGTAAAGGATAAAATATATACTAATTTTAGTAACCATTGTATCGTACTAAATGAAGTTTCTTAATATGTAGTTTTAGTCAAGCGTCTCATTAGAGTTGATTATTCACTTGCCCCTATGATATTATTAAATTAAATTTAATATTAACGTGCGCGTAAATAGTTCACCTATTTTTGAAAAATATAAATAGTAATAGCAAATGTTTGCGCGAACAAATTCATACCATCTTTGTCTATACGTCAACAAACATCAGATTATTAATAATCATTGCTACTATTTATATTCTTGTAACCAACATTATTATTTACTATTAATTTTATTTATTTTGAATTTAAAGATTGTATACATTATATACATTATATACATTATATACATTATATACATCATTAATATTTTATAATTGGCAAAACACTATACATATATATCTAAGCAACCCCATGATTGTTATGATAAAAAAAGTAAAAATGACGGCTTTTGTACATCAAGAAATTTTCAAGTACAAAATAACTTCAAAGCCTCATTAATTTCCCTTCTTTTTTTTCCCTATATAACCACCGCCTTTTTCTGCTTTTTCATTTCGCATGCACACTTGTACATTAATAAATTAATTAATAAATTAATAATAACTATAATAATAATAATAATAATAATAATAATAATAATGTTGAAATCGAATTTATTTGCCATTTTATTTTTCTGTTTCGTCGCAATCTTTATCAATTCATCTCGAGCAAACGATTACGATGACAATGATAGAAAAAAAATAGGAACTATCACTCGTAAATATCAGATTCGAGAATTTATTTTTCATTTGATTAATGAATATATTCATTTTATTGGTTACGAATAATAATATATTTGATCAATTGCGCAAATTGCTACATATTCTCTTAATTAATAATAAACAATATTTTTGTATAGAACAACCTGATATCAATCTACCAGAAGGCATCGAGATACCAGAAGGACATGTTTTCAAATTTTTATTATATGGAGCTGGTGTTCAAAAGTATCAATGTGCAACTAATGAAACAACTAAAGCCAAATTTTGGGCATTAGGTAATGTTTCTCGCTCGAGAGGAAGAAAGAAACCCTTTTTTATAATTGATTATTAATTTTGATTGGTTTTTAATTCGCATATTAATTAATAGTTGGACCATCGGCCTATCTTATCAACGACATTAAAAAAGAAAAATTCAAAAAGAAGTTTAGAGTTGCATACCATTTTTTCCAGGAGAAACGTATGCATGCATATTAATATAGATTAATTAATAAAATATGTAAATCTTATTCCGATATTCCAACTATTCCATTACCATTATTATAGCTGTTAACGGTGGGAGACCAACATGGAAATCTATTATAGAAAATGACAAATCTTTGGTCATCACCGCTCTGCGTTCTCAGGCACCTTCGCCTGATGATCCAGCAAAAAATATTCCATGGCTAGTAACCCAAGCCACTCATAATGAAGGTCCAGGTGCTTTCTCTGATGTAACCTATGTACTTCGTATTGCCACTTATGGCGGAATTGCGCCACCAGCTAGTGATTGTAAGTATAAAAATTACCTTTTTTTGATATTTTGCTGATCTCGTATTACATATAGTTTTATAATGTTCATTCTTCCTGCAAAATAGGTGGTACCAAATATAAAGAAGGTCAAGAAGTTAATAGTTACTATACAACTCAATATTGGTATCTTAAAGCAAAAAGCTCTTGATAATGATGATGATGATGATAATAATAATAATAATGATAATAATAATAATAATAATAATAATAATAATTAGTAATTAATAATAATAACAATAACAATAATTATAACAATAATAATAATGATAATAATAGAACATTATTTATTAATTTTATTTTTTGTTTTTTTTTAATATAATGTTGTTAATTGAAAGTTTATTTTTGACGCATTAATACTATAATTTAAAATACTGAAGAAATAAATAATAAAATCCATCTAAAAGCGGCTTTGGTAAATGAAATTTCCAAATATTTTTTTCATTTCTCTTAAATATTTATTTGATCTACTTTGTTACACATTTTAACTTGATGTCACACATGATGGTTAAAAAAGCAAATTAAAATAAAGAAGATGAAAAAGGCGGTGTAGACAACAATTTCTTGATTTGTTTTTCAATTATATATATCTTATAAAAATAATGAATCCTTTTGATGTCAACAACTATTTGAAAAATAGTTTTCAAATAATATAAATATATGTAATATAAAATTTTCGTTATTTTTATTTCGTTATTTTATTTTCGTTATTTTATTTATATTCCTTATTTTATTTATATTATTTACTTACTAATACCAATTAATCTAGTTTATTACAATCATTTAAGTTTCATTTGTCACTTAACATCATATATTATTAATACACACAATATTAACTCGTGAAAACATATTTTTTAAACTTTGTACAAATAGAATGATTGTTTTTCGATATTTTCAATTGACAAAAAAACTGTTTCAAAGTAATAATAACAATGACAACAACAAGAGGAGAAATAAAAGGTAGATATTATTGGATATAATATTAAGGATGAATGTAAACAATTCCAACAATCCCTCAAATTCCTTGTTCAAACAAGGAATTGATTTCCTCATTTTAATTATAAATAGATATGATCTACAATAATAAATATTCATATAAATATCCGTAATCTTTATTACTATGATCGATCACTTAAAATATTCCCTCCCTCACATAAAATTATTTTCTTAAAAACGAAAAAAATCTTTATTAATCTTTATTTTTTATTCAAAGTATGAAAAGGAAATCATCAAAAAAATTGAGTAAAGGATCTTCCTTGATAAACAAGAAAGATCAATTTTACAACCATTTCATCACCAATAGTGATGATAACAATAATAACAACAATAATAATAAAACTAAAAAGATAGACGACGGCGATAACTACGCTTGCACCTACACAAATAAAATAATGGCAGAGCCAATCGAATTTGATGTTATCAAGAAAAATAATATTGATAAGTCTGGTTGTATTTCTCGTAACATGCAAAAAAAGCCTCACTATTCTCAAGCTTTATTTCTTGTTAACAATGATGCTATTATTAATAATAATGATAATAAAGCTATCGGTGATAACGATAATCGCGATGACGGTGATAATATTAATACTTGTGATAATGTAAATAATGTCAACGATGATAATAAAAATAAAAGTAGCAGCGAAACCGGAAACAGTAATAGTAGTATTGGAAGAAAGAATAGTGATGGTCATTTGATTGCTGAAGAATTGTTAACAAGATTAGAATTATATGGTGTGTGTAAAGAATGTCTAAGGCCAAAAACAGGATGGTTCTGGTGTCAGCCATGTAACTCAAAGCATTTATTAAGGTCCTTCTCCTCCTCCCAATCCTCATACATCTCTTCATCCTGCTCCTCCACTTCATATTCATCCTCCTTCTCACCAAATCAATTTTTATCATGTTCAGATCAACATAAATTGATCGATGGTTTTTTGAAATCTATTCTACTTTCCGCCAAGTCGTATCGTGACTTTGCACAATGGATCCCATTCAATCGTTTAAAGAATATTAAATTTTTGTCAAGTGGTGGATTTTCAACCGTTTATACGGCAGCTTGGCTGGATGGCTGGATATTAGAGTGGAATCGGATTGATAAATGTTGGTCACGAAGTGGTGAACGAACTGTTATTATGAAAGTTTTAGAAAATTCTGTTAATGCCAATGAAGAATATTTGAACAATAAGATTAGGCCTTTGTTCGAAAGTAAATTTGGTGTCATTCGATATTATGGTATATCACAGGAACCAAAATCAGGAAATTATATTTTAATAATGGATTATGCAAAATTAGGGAATCTGTACGACTACTATACTTGTAATCAGTATAATAATAATCGTCATCGTTATTATTATAATAATTCAAAAAAAAAAAGGAAACAATTTACTTGGCAAGAAAAAATGAAAATTTTAAAAAGAATCACTTTTGGACTTATGAATATACATGAATCAGGTTTAATTCATGGAAATTTACATAGTGGTAATATATTAATACATGATGATAATTTGGCTTTTATCAGTGATTTAGGATTGAATCATCCAGCTGATAAGTTTTGTTCAAAAACAAATAAAACTACAATGATAACGACAACGACGACGACGACGACAACAACAACGACAACGACGACAACAAATTCATCACCAAGAAATTCATTTGCCTCTACTTCTATTTCATCATCTGATTCATCATTATCATCATCTATTACTTCTAGCACTACTGATTCATCATTATCATTTACATCTTCATCACCTCAAAAACAAAAAGAACCACAGGTTAATGGATCAACTACAACTAGTCCACTTAATGATACTGCTACCATAGTTACACCGACTACCACACTTAATGATAATAATGAAAATCAACAACAGCAACAACAAATGTATGGTGTATTAAATTATATTGCACCCGAAATATTATGTGGTAACGGTAACGAGCACACAAAAGAATCTGACATATACAGCTTAGGCATAGTAATGTGGGAATTGATTGCAGAGGAAAGACCGTTTAATAATAGAATACACGATATAAATTTAGTATTGGATATTTGTTATGGCCTGAGGCCTGAAATTCCAAGATATACTCCATTGTTACTAAAAAAATTAATAAAAAGTTGTTGGAATGCCAATGCATTACAACGACCAAAGATCAAAGAGATTTATAAAATTATTTCATTGCTCAAACATCAATTAGATGAAAATCGTATCGATTCGGAATTCTGTTTACAAATAAAAGAATCAGAAAAAATTATTAATGATAAAAAAATGACTAGGAGTGGTAGTGTTAGTAGTGATAGCAGCAACAGTGGCGGTGGTGGTAGTAGTATTAGTAGTACTTTTAGTAGTATAAGTAATACTTTTAGTAGTAGTCGAAGTCGTAGTCGTCGTGAGAATCGTAAAAGAGCCAGTTTTCAATCTAGTAGTATTTATACAAGTAAATTATTGGATTTTTCTAATTTACCTAAACCGATGAATGCTCCAGTTGATCCAGAAGGTCCAGAAGGGAATGATCAAACTGAATTATTATTAGAAAGGAGAGATAGCGAAAAAAGTCAACACAGTCAAAAAAGATATACTAAAGGAAGTCGTTATGATAGTAAAATGGTGGCAGAGGATTATAATGGTATGAATAGTTGTGAGAATGTAATGATGTTGATATTATAATATTTGTTTAAACTAATATTTATGATTTTAATTTTTTCATAGATTTAAATGAATCAATTTATATTGAATTATTAAATAACAATGGTAAAGACGATAACAATTATAAAAATAATGAAAATTATAAAAATGACAATTTTAATTATTATTATAAAAAAAGTGGGTAATCATTTTTATTATATTTCAAATTTTTTTTGATTTATTAGACTTTTATTAATCAAATTCTTTGTAATTTTTTAGATTGTTCTATTGAAGGGTTGGAATCAAAAAAAAACATTTATTATTCAATTTATATTTAGTTTAAAATAATTCAAAAAGTAAAAATTATATTATTTGTAAAACTTTAATGTGTAAATTAATATTATTATAATTATACAATAATAGATTAACTGTAAAATTTATTATATTAAAAAAAAAAAAAAAAGTATATAGATACATATATTAATAATATATTAATAAGTAAAAAGTATTAATTAAATTGTTCGGTGTGTTAAATAAGGCCCTATACGTATTCTACCTGGTTGATTTATCGAAGCAATTGGATAGACCCTTGAAGGAAGATTTGTCCAATTTGCAACATTTGGATATTTCACGCCGTTAATAGAGAATGCACAAGTTTTATTTGTCATATCTAGATGAACAGTGATTCTCGTTCCACTACTAAATTCTGATGCATAATTGGTTCTAGTGTTATTATGATAACATTTACCACTTGATCCAAGCACCCATGCACATGTTTGTTGACCAGCAAATATCGAATAGTCCAAACCTTTCTCTGTGGCAATTCCTACCCATGCGTAAATGCATATTTCCTCAACCACCACATCCCATTCAAATATTCCTTCATCGCATATCAAAAAATTGGCTCTAACATTATTGTGTACATTTATACCGGTTTTGGAACTTTCCACAACGCAATTATTGTTGCCTTTAATAATCACCAGATTGCTTCCTATACATTGTTTATCCCAATTGATGTTCCATTTGGTCAACGGTGCTCGTCTAGTCGGTGATAACGATCGTTTTTCCCTGGCTTGAAACCTGTAAACATCTAGTAAAGTTGATACTGGTATCAGATTTAATGGTTCAATGACATCGATCAATAAATTTACATCTATTCTTCTTAGATCAATAAATTTCAATAATGGTAATAAATTTTCAATTATCAAAGGTCTAGCCTCTTCGTATTTCTTTCTATCTTCTTCATCCTCATCCTCACCTTCTCCATTATCGCTATTGCATTTTTTTTCAACATCATTATCTTCTTCTTCAGAATCTTGTATGACTTTATTACCATCAATAACTATGTTTTTATTGTTATTATTATTATTAACATTAACGTTATTATTAATTATATTAACTTCGTTAATACTATTATATTCTGGAAGCCATTTTTCGATTAATTTAACCAAATCTTTTGATAAATTATTTGTTATTCTTATTACAACATATCTAAATATTGAATATTCTGGAGTGACAAACAATTCTTTGGTATCAAAAGTTTGTCGTAGTAAACATTTCAATGCTTCAACACTAAGTTTGTCATGACCCAATGTATCTAACGGAACCTTTGCTACACAGCTTGTCAATAATCTAATCAATTCATTATCTGCTTTAGATGTCATTTTTCTAACCGCATTTGTTAATAACTCTGGTGCAATATTTTCACCACTATTGCTGCTGCTACAACTACTGATATTGATATTATTGATATTGGCATTATTAGCATTCAGATTGTTATTTTTTAATAATCCTCTGATAAAACTTATAAGATATTCTTGTAGTTCCAACAATTGAAAATAATCAGATGCATGATACGCTTCGACGACATTATCTTTTGCCAATTTAATTTCCATTTCGTTATTATTCAACACCCCAGTATACAAATACTCCATTACAATCAACATTGGGGTGGATTTGATTACAGGGAATTTAATTTGGCTTTGATTGGTTTCTTTCATACCGTTGAATAATAATTTATCTAATACTTCACACCTTGCTGCCAATATCGCTTTATTTCCATATACTATCACCTCATCTTCACACAATATTTTTAAATCACTATATGTTGGATTGTTTAGTAAAAGTTTTAAATCTTTGGAAAGTAAAATTCCTCTCGTTGTCATCGTCATTGTCATTCTATCTAATTGTTGGTTTGTTGGTTTGTTGTTAATTGTTGATTGATTAATTGATTAGAAAATAGGAAAAAAAAAGGTTCGTATCAATCATTTTATATTTTAAATATATATTTATTTACTTTGTCAATTAAAAAATTTCATTCATTAAAAAAAATTTTTTTTTTCATGTCAAATGATCAAAATTTCACGAACAACAAAAACCTTAATCATATCATTAGACAATACCATGTTAACATAATAAGGAGAGTGAAAAAATGAAGAGAAAAAAAATGTGGATTAGTTCAATTAATTTAATGTTAAAATATTAATATCATTTAATATTATTTAATATTAAATATTAATGAAACACGTTCAACAAATCATATAGGGAAAAAAAACATTACATATGACTACATATGATTACAATCAAATAAGGAAAATGAGTTTTCATATAATCACACCGCAATGGGTGGCTTTTCAGTCAAAGAGTGAATAAATCTTGAAAGCTTTTTAATAAAATCTCTTTGCAGTGAAGTGAGCGAACACTTTTTACTGTTGTGTGTGAAAATACATATATCCGTGTGAATTTTGAAATTAGCCAATTAAAAATTATTTTCGCCCAAACACATATTTGATTGGTAGTTTTAATTTCACATAAATTTCGTTATTATTTATAAATAGTCAAAACACAATTCTAAGCTAAAGTTTCTGGTCGAAACTGCTTCTATTAGTAGCCGAAATTGCCCAAATACTTTGGGCAAAAATTATTTTTTTATAAGCC